CCGGTCCCCGCGCGCGCCCCGAGGGTCAGTTGTGTGTGAAGCGGGAGCGTTTCCTGGTCGGGCCGCCCGGAGCGGCGCTGTCCCCGGGTGAAGAATTCCCGGCTCTAGCCGGCCGCGCTTGTGCGCTTGCGCGCTTGCGCACACTTGCGCTGTCCCGCGGAGTGCCGCGCTCCTGCTGGGCTGGGGAGAGGGCCCGCAACGCCGAGGACCTGCTGGGCCCCGCCTCGGGTCTTACAGTCCAGGGGTCGGGGTAACCAAGTGGACGTCAGCCGCGGGGGAGGAAAAGTGAGCAACGGGAGGACCGGGAGAATATGCCGCAGAAGCCGCCGGGAGAGCGCTTGCAGCGAGGGGAGGGTCCCCAGGGTGAAAGGGTGGGGCGGGGGCTGAGAATGGGCTTTAAGTGCCGCTACAAGGAGACCTGGATGAGCAGACTTCGGGAAAGTAGAGACCGAGTGGGATTCCTAGAGTCGGGCTGTGAAGGTGAGGAGAGGGTCCCGCAGCCAGGTGGAAATTTGCACTTCAAAGAGAGGGGTTGTAATGTAGGTGAGGGGCAGGAGGGTTCTGACCCCGGAGCGCAGCGGGGAAGATCCCCACCATCACCCCCTGCCATCCCCCGCTTTCTTGTGAAAAGCAGATAGATGCAGAGATGTGTGTAGACAGGCAAGCTTGTCAGTTTGGCGCCCGGCTGTTGAGTCTCTGTTTTGAAGGGAGGCTCCGTTACCGGCTACCACGTGGGAGAGCTAAAGAAGGGGTTGCCTCACAAAAAAGCCAGGCTGGTTTTGAGGACCCAGAGTTGACAGGATTTGTGCCTCGGTGATGGGCTTTATCATGGTGAGGCACCGGACAGAAAAGGTGGACAGTGGAATGTATTCAGCCAGGAGAGTCTTCCAACACGTTTAATGGAAGGCAGAGGAATCAGGATATTGGCAAGAAGGGGGTGGGGTGATAGTAGGAGTGAAGACAAGAGGGGCCTGATGGAGAGGGGACACATTGAGAGGTCAAGGGGTCAGAGGTCGTCAGTGACAAAACCAGATATGTTTGAGCACATACTCTGGCAGGCAGATTTCTAGGCACCAGAGATAACGCAGTAAACAGAACAGACATTGTTTTTATTCTCATGGAGTTTACCTTTGGATGCTGGTAGGGAGAGAAGGGAGACTGTAAAGAAATATATAGCAGTGGTAATAATAGCTAGTGAGAAAAATAAAGCAGGTTAAGAGGACAAAGATTGATGGATGTGTGCTATTTTGGATAGAGTGCTCAGGAAAGACCTCTGATCAAGTAACATTTGAACAGATGCCTCAGAAGGAAGTAAAACGTGGACAGTACAGGTATTTAGGGGAATAGTATTCCAGGCAGAAGGACCAACAAGTGCAGAGGCCCTGAGGTGGGTATGCTTGTGTGTGTGAGGAAATGCAAGGAGGTGAGGATCAGGTGCTTGGATGGAATGGCCAGTGTGAGGAGATCGGTAGAGGATGAGACCAGACTGTGTAGGACCTTGCATGCTGTCCTGAAGATTTACAGTTGTATTCTGAGATGTGGAGCCTTTGGGAGATTTTAAGTAGAGGAGTGACATGACCTACTTACATTTTAAGAAACGAAGAACAGGTGTGTTGCCTTCTATAAATATTGGTGTCCCCACTGTGTGCCAGTCACTTTGGAGAAATCCCTGCCCTCAGTGAGCTTACAGTAGTGAGGATATGCCAGAAAACTGCTGTTGGAGGTAGTGCTTAGCGGGAGGGCTCTGGGTTGGATTTCCTGGGGTCAGATGACTGAATTACGAATATTTTTTCTCATCTGTAAACTGGGGTTAGTAGAAGGGCTAAATGATAAAGCAGGTGAGGTGGTGCCATCTCCGGGCACCCAACCAGCCAGCCCTCAGTGAGTGTAAGCTGCTTATTGTTAATTTCATTAGGTTCCCTGATGGAGAAAGTAGGGTGGGAATGTTACGAAAAGCAGCACAGGTTGTGGGGCTGTGGTGTGGGGTGTGATGGGTACCCCTGAGGGAGAACTGGATGGAGGGGTGGTGGTTTTTGCAGGAGTTGGGGTGCAGTGGTCAGCAGCATAGATTATTCCAGCTGCGAAGCCATAGTGAGCAATGAGAAGGCCCAGGGTGAAGGAAGTGGAGAATAGTTAGACAGAGGACAAGGCCACAGGAGAGGGTAGGTAGAGATACTGGGTGTGCTGGGACTGGGGGCCTGAGCCTCTGGACCTCATTCACGATGCACGGCAGCAGCCACACAGTGCTGAAGAAGGTAGTGGGTAGCATGTTTTTAGGAGCTGTGGCCTCACCCAGGGGAGGTACCGTGGTTTGAAAGTGGTTGTGATCAGGGAGGAGCACTTTCCCCAAGCTATCCCTGATTAACTGTGCTGTGGTTTTCCAAAGACCCCTGAAGGGATAGAGGAAAGGGCTTAGAGCTCCCCTGCAGCAGGGTCTGGGAACAGAGTTGGCTGCTGGGCTCACTCCCATTGAAAGCCATGGCAGCTTCTGGAGGTGGTGAGCAGGGGCTCGATTGGCAGTGCTGCCAGAGAGAGTCCTAATTCCAGAGGCAAAGTGTCCTGGATCCAAAGACTCAGCAGTTTGTTCTCCGTAGGCTCTCTGTGAGCTCTCCTTCGGCTAGGGGAGTCTAAGACTGGAGGGGCCATAGAGCTTTCCCCTTGAGGAGGCATAAAGAACCTGAGGTCACAGGATACCCTTGCCCTCTCAGCAGGGCCTGGCTGAGGCCTGACCAACAGGTCATCAAGTGCCCACAGATAAAAGCCTGAGGATGTGGGCCCACCTTCAGGGGCCAGGACCCTGGGACAAAGGCCGCACTGTGTCAGAAAGGCTCTGTAAATGGGGCCTTTGAGATGGATTTCTGCCACAGCTTGCAAGGCCTGGTTGTTGTGCTTTTGGAGACAGCTGTGAACTAGGGAGTTCAGGGAGGGGCAGGGAGCACCCTGGGGCTGGGTATGCCTCCTGGAGGAGGTGTCCTTCATGTGCATGGAGGCAAGACTCTGAGGACAGCTGAGCCACTGGAAAGGCTCCTCAGTCTAGAGCCAGGCCATCGGCATTGGCACTGCCTGTACACCAGGCTCCCTGGCTCAGTGGTCCTGCCCCTGGAGTCAGCTCTTCTCCACTAGCACACCTCGGTGGCTCTCAATGCCTGCTGGACTGAGCCTAGGTCTGCCACCCGAGGGCCTGAGCCCTCCCCCCTTCCCCGAGATTTGGCCACAGACTGCTTTTCCTGCTCCCTCTTTCTGGGCACAGCCCTCATTGCATCTCTCTTGGTGCCTGTCTACTTCCACTACACGTTGTGGCTGTCCCTTCTTGTCCACATCCAAACCTTTCTGGTAAACCCTTCTGGCTTTCCCGCTGGTCCCAGCCCAGCACTCTGGGACAGCATTCCCACAGGCCTGTGCCAACGTGTCTCCGGGCTGCCTCCTGGTAGACCGCAGGGCTGCCCTGGGCTATGAGGCATCTATGTAAGCATCTATGGATCATATTCAGGAAAGAGGCATTTTCCTAAGAGGAAAACTTGTGCCCAGGAAGGTAGTGAGAGGGGATGGAGTAAACCTGGACAATGCCCAGAACAGTTCATGGCAGGCATGTGTCCTGGCTGGGACACTGGGCATGGTGATGGTTTCTAAAATTGGCGGCAGGGGCTTCTTGGAGAGTCACAGGGTTGGCGCAGTGACTATGTCCTCTGCTGTGGGACAGGTTCAGGAGAACTCTCCGGCCCAGCACGCAGGCCTGGAGCCCTACTTTGACTTCATCATCACCATCGGGCACTCGCGGCTGGTGAGGCTCCCCCACCCTACCTCTGCTTTGCTTGTGTGTGTGGGTGTCCCTCTGTCCCACAGGGGGCCCAGACTGCTCCTGCCCCCCTTTTCTTCGAGGGGGAGGCCCACCCTTGTCTCCTCCTCCCAAGTGTACTCAGAGCTGATTGGGACCCTGCCCAGCACTCAGCTCCTGAGCTCTCTGGGGTGGACTGGGGACAGATGGAGTCTTGGAGGGGGCAACAAGGCCTAAGGGGCCTGCCTCCTAGGGCATTTGGGATATGAGGGCCCTGGCCAAGGGGCAGTTCAGAGTGGGGCAGCACTGGAGAGCTCTGGACCCAGGAGGCTTTTTGCTTACTTTGTTGTATTTTCTGGCTGGCTGAGGGAGGACCATTTGGCAGTACTTGGGGTTGGTGGGGGGTGGGGGTTTCAGTGGCTACAGGTCCAAGCCTGGCCTATGAACTAGAGCCCAGACACTGCCCCATCCCTGGCCCATCCCTACACCAGGTCCTGCTGTGGCTGCTGGCCACCAAGGCCCTTGCCCCATTTCCGGCCCAGACTTATCTGAGGGGGCTGGCCAGATGTGGGGGGGGGCCTTGGAGTCAGCCTTGCTGCCCCCTCAGAACAAAGAGAACGATACGCTGAAGGCACTGCTGAAGGCCAATGTGGAGAAGCCTGTGAAGCTGGAGGTGTTCAATATGAAGACCATGAAGGTGCGCGAGGTGGAGGTGGTGCCCAGCAACATGTGGGGCGGCCAGGGCCTGCTGGGTGCCAGCGTGCGCTTCTGCAGCTTCCGCAGGGCCAGCGAGCATGTGTGGCACGTGCTGGTGAGTGTGGGGTAGGGCATGCAGGAGGAGGTGGAGCCAGTTTACTTGGGCAGGGCTGGGTAGGGTGGAGCATGCAGGAGAAGGGTAAGACCAGAGCCTGGGATGGCCAGGTTGTATGCGCGGGGCTTGGGGAGAGGCAAACAGCTAGTGGGTTTATGAGAGGACTCAGAGCCAGATCTGATCTCATTCCAGTGTCTCAGAGAGGGCAGCTCATTACTACCTGAACAGTGTACTCTGCTTCTTATTGAAGCAGGGTGACTTTGGGTACTTTCTTGTCTCCTATACGTTGGTCTTATTTTAAAAGGTGGGGATATCATGTACTGGAATGGTGGTACTGCTGGAACACTGCTGCTACAATTAGTTTCTCAAACTTCAAAAAATTCATGGACAAATGAAATTAAAAGATAAAAATAAAAAATATAAACTTTATTTCTCAACATAAGCTTCATCAAGTTTAAGACCCTTTTTATAAGTGATGATACCAGCCATTTAGCCTGGGAATTTAACCATGTCAATGCAGTCTTTTTTTACATTATTAACTGAAGAAAAATGGATGCACTTTAAAGATTTTTTTAAGACTAGACAACAAAAAGAAGTCAGAAAGAGCCAAATCAGGACTGTAAGGTGGATGCCTAATGATTTACCATCGAAACTTTGCAAAATTGTTCTTGTTTGATGAGAGGAATGAGCAGGAGTGTTGTCGTGGTGAAGGACTCTCTGGTGAAGCTTTCCTCGGTGTTTTTCTGCTAAAGCTTTGGTGAAGATTTCTCAAAACACTCTCATTATAAGCAGATGTTATCATTCTTTGGCCCTCCAGAAAGTCAACAAGCAAAATTCCTTGAACATCGCAAAAACCTGTTGCCATGACCTTTGCTCTTGACTGATCCAGTTTTGCTTTGACTGGACCAATTCCATCTCTTGGTGGTGACGGCTTTGATTGTGCTTTGTCTGTAGGATCATACTTGTAAAGCCATGTTTCATCCATCTTCTATTACAGTTCTTCAAAGAAACGCTTCAGGATCTTGATTCCACTTGTTTAAAAATTCCATTGAAAGCTCTGCTCTTGTCTGCAGTTGATCTGAGTGCAACAATTCTGGCACCCATTGATCAGAAAGTTTGCTCAACTTTAATTTTTTAGTCAGAATTGTGTAAGCTGAACCAGTTAAGATGTCTGTGGTGTTGGTTGTTGTTTCTGCTGTTAATCATCGGTCCTTTTCAATTAGGGCATAAGCAAGATTAACTTTTCTTCAGAAATTGATGTGGATGGTCTGCTGCTTCATCTTCAACAAAATCTTCTCTCTTAAAAATGAGTTATCCATTTGTAAACTGCTGATTTCTTTGGGGCATTGTTCCCATAAACTTTTTATAAAGCATCATTAATGTCACCTTTCTTCCACCCAAGCTTCACCATAAATTTGATGTTTGTTCTTGCTTCAATTTTAGAATTCATGTTGATCCAATAGAGGGTCTTTTCAAACTGATGTCTTATCCTTCTTAGTGCCTCAAACTAGATCCTGTTCAGACATGTTATAACAAGCTAGTACAGGTTTATTTTGGTGCAAAAAACTTGAAATCCACGTATAGTTTTATCATAATACTTATTTCCAATGGACATTTTGAATACCCCTCATATATATAGTGGTTTTTCTGGTGTATTGTTATGTGATTAATTGATACCTTAATGAACATTAGTGTCTGAGCTGTCATAGATGTGTCTGTTTACAGACACACTTGCACACCTGACACCTGTGCCCATTGATGGTGTCCAGGTTCTCGAATGCTCAGTCTTATTGCTTGGTGGAAGGAGGGTGTGCTAAGCTAGAAGTTGGCTGCTTTGGTGTCTAGCTTCCTCTATTGCTCAGTGACTTCTTGAAGGAGCCTGGCCAGGTTTCTCAACCTTTGCAGCCTGCCTCAGTTTGCCCATTAGTGAAATGGGGCTGATGATGCAAATTCCTTTTCATTTCCCAGGGAGACTGGGGGTGATAGAGCTTTCCAGAGGAGAAAGTGATCTGCTCACTGCCCTCACCTCCAGCCGCTACACAGGATCTTCAGCCACTTGTCTGCAGCAGTAGCAACAATTCAATTGGTCACTTACTGTGACCGAGGTGTGGTTTCTTTACATATATTTCTTTAATCTTCTCAGCAACCCTATGAGTAGGTACTATGTATCCTACTTTCAATTGTGGAGAAACTGAGGCTGAGAGAGGTTCAGTAATTTGTTCAGTTACATAGCTAGCAGTCGGTGGAGCCAGGAGTTGAGCCCAGGCTCGGATTCCAGAGCCCAGTGCTGCAGCACCTTGCCACGATGCTGCCCTCTGCTGGGAGGCCGTAGACCTGGGGGCGGTAGGGGAATTGGGGTACGAGGTAAAGGAGTCTGGGCTTGAGGACCTGCCTGGAGACAGAGGACAGGTGTTCTACTCACTACCTGGCAAGGCAGCTCCCCTTGCCCTTTCCCCACCTCAGTAGTGAGGCCAATAGTTTATGATTCTTTCCCCAGGATGTGGAACCATCTTCACCTGCTGCCCTTGCTGGCCTGTGCCCGTACACAGACTATGTGGTTGGCTCAGACCAGATCCTCCAGGAGGTGAGGAACTCATGGTTTGTCCCTCCCCGGGTCCCCTGGATGGGGTGTGGAAAGATGGATGCTGTCCATGAGAAGTGCTTTGTTTTGTTGAGGCTTCAGTCTAGTGCTGGGAGCAGGCCTCAGGGGCTGTGTGTTTCTCATAGTCTGAGGACTTCTTTACGCTCATCGAGTCTCACGAGGGGAAGCCCTTGAAGCTGATGGTTTATAACTCCGAATCTGACTCTTGCCGGGAGGTGACTGTAACTCCCAACGCAGCCTGGGGTGGAGAGGGCAGGTACTTCCTGGGATTGGAGGGCTGCAGGGGTAGGTGGGTGGGGCCTGACCAGAGGGCATGGACCTCCAGAGTCCCATGGTGGAGATGGAGGGCTGGGTCCTGGGCCCAGGGATTCTGAGGCAGAACACTGGTCCAGGAAGTGCCCTTTCTAGTCCCCTTGTTGCTGATGGTGGGTGGGGGTGGTAAGGTAGGGAGGGCTGTGGGACAACCCCCTGGATTGAATGTTTCTGGCCTTTGGCAGTTTGGGGTGTGGTATTGGCTATGGATATCTACACCGGATCCCAACCCAGCCCTCCAGCCACCACAAGAAGCCACCTGGTGCTCCACCACCTGGTGCTCCACCACCTGATGTGCCACCACCTGGTACCCCATCTCCTGATGCTCCACTACTTGGTACCCCCCCACCTGGACCCAACCCCCAGGACTCTCCTGCCCCTCCTGGCCCAGAGATAGGTTCCAGGCAGAGTGAGTACACGGAGGTATGTGCGGAACACCTGCCAGCCAGGGGAAGAGGGGAGCTTCGTGTGAGTTAGGGGCCTGGCAGCCAGGAAGAGAGGTCTCTGGAGGCTGTTCTTGGGGAGCCTCCAGCAACCCTTACTAGAAGTCTGTCTACGGGACCGTTGTGCTTCTGGGGAAGCCCATCCGCTTCTGGGACGCAGTGGGAACAGATGGGCTCTTCCTGGGACAATGAAACCCACTTTTGGTTCTCCTGCCCCTTGGGTCCAGAGGTGAAGGTGGAGGCAAGACACTTGTTGTCATCTTCACTTTATGAGTGGGAAACTGAGGCTCAGAGATGGGCAGAATCTTGTTCTCTGCCTCAGTAAGTCTGTGGTAAAGCTGGGCCAGGGGCTGGGCCTCCAGAGCCCCAGTTGATAGTTGTCTAGCCAAGTCTGCAGAGAAGCACTGGCCCTGCTTTCATGGCTGATGAGTGGTTGCCTGAGAGAACCTTTGGGCACTGGGCTGGTGCCTGGTGTCTGTGCCAGGGGGCATGCAGGGATGGTTGGAAGGTTCTCTCTTCTTGTGGGTCACTGATGGGGGCCCAGGCAGCAGAGAGAATTTGTCAGAGCCAGGTGGACACCTGGGGCTCCCCAGCAGAGTGGGAAGAGTGCTCACTCTCAGTGTCGACACTGCAGGGGAGGCCAGGCCAGGCCCCTCTGGCCTGACTTCATATCACCTGTAGAGGAAGGGGCAGATCACAAAGGCCATTTCCTTCTTTCAGGCAGAGTGCTCACAGGGCAAGGATGGTCTGGTGGATAGGTTGAACTGAAATCCTTCACCTCGAGGCACTGTCTTGATTGCCCCATTCCCTCTTCTTCTGTGACTCCCCTAGGCCCTGCTGCAGGCACCTGGCTCTTCCATGGAGGGACAGCTTCCTGGGCCCGGGAGTCCCAGCCATAGTGCTCCAGACCTTGGGGGACTTCCGTGTTCCATGGAGTTTCCTCTTCAGCCTCCTCCTCCAGTGCAGCGAGTCATGGACCCAGGTACTGGGCATACCCTGGAGAGGAGACTACAGAACCTGCAAATCCTGGTGCTGAAGTGGGCCTCAGACTCAGGGCTGGACTTTGGCAGCAGTGCCAAAACTTTCCCCAGGGCTCTCATATTTCATATGCTAAGATAGTTGCAGATCTCCCATCCAGTATACAGATGGGGAGTCTATAGTCCTGAAGAGAAAAGAGAGGTGGCCTGAAGGGTTACACAGCAAACTGGGAGACAGAGCAGGGTCTGGGCTCACTGCCACTGTGCCACTCCCATGATGCTTGACCCCAGGCTCCTTTCTTTCCTCAGAAACAGACAGTGGGAAACCTTTTTGGGGTTGGGTGGGGGAGTCACCAGGGGCTGAGATTGCAGTCTCACAAATTTGGCCAAATGCCCCTAGGAACAGGGCAGGGTGAGCCCAGGGTACTGGCTTTCTAGAGGTCAGGGTTTTGCATTGGTACAGAACTGCGCCCCCCTCCCCCAGGCTTCCTGGACGTGTCGGGCCTTTCCCTCTTGGACAGCAGTAATGCCAGTGTTTGGTCCAGCCTACCCTCTTCCACAGCGCTGACCTCCACAGCTGTCTCACCCTCAGGACCAGAGGATGTCTGCTCCAGCAACAGTTCCCACGAGCGGGGTGGTGAGTGGCCGGCAGCTTCAGAAACCCTCTAGGAAGGAGCCCAGGTTGTTGAGAAGGCTGCCCGGAACTCCTCAGCGGGGTTAGATGTCTGCCATCCGGTTGGATACAGCCACATCAAGGCATTTGTACACTTGATCTCCCATTCCCCTCAAAGCCTGTGGTGGCAGTGGGGGGATCAGTGGGTTATTAGCCACAGCACCAGGGCCCTAGGTTCTGCAGGCCTCCTCAGCCCCACCCTCTGTTTCAGGTGAGGCCACATGGTCTGGGTCAGAGTTTGAAGTCTCCTTCCTGGACAGCCCAGGTGCACAAGCCCAGCTGGACCACCTGCCTCAGCTGACTCTTCCCGACAGCCTCACCTCTGCAGCCTCACCAGAAGATGGGCTGTCTGCTGAGCTGCTTGAAGCCCAGGCTGAGGAGGAGCCCGCAAGCACAGAGAGCCCAGACTTGGGGGCAGAGGCTGAGGCGCTGGCCAGCCAGGCCCAGATGTCTATACCAGAATAACACCCTGGGCTGTAACAAGGCTCCTGATGACATTTCATGAGGCCTACCTGTGGGCAGGCAGCCCAGCTCCGTGCCTAATCCCAGTCCTGTTCAGCTTCTTAGGATGCAGCTTCAAGTGGTGTGCAGGGATTTCTGCTGGCAGGGGGCTTTTGTTTCTACTCAGACCCTACTCCTGATCTCCAGATGACCTTCCAGCATTTATCCTGCCTGATGGCCCTGGCTTTGGGGATTTCAAACAAGTCCTTTTGGGGGTGGCAGAGGGCTGGGAGCAGCACCCCAGATAAAGTATGTTTTGCAGGAACTGGGGGTAGGAGAGGAGGATTCTTTGCTGCTTGGGTGGGGCATGAAGCCTCATTGGTTAGGGAGAGGCAGCCATGGGCCTTGTGGGAGGGCATCTTTTGGCTGTGTACTCTCAGGTCCAGTGGCTGCTCCACTGGGGTTGCCCAGGAGGCAGGAGGGTCCAGTCATGATCCAGTGTGAAGATGAGGCAAGAGAGGAAGGGGTTGGTTGGTGTTGGCCTGATTGCTTTGTTAGGGCTTGCCTTGATTCTTCCTGCACAGCTCAGCCAGACCCATCTGTACTGGAGGGAACCCCCAAGCCCCGGGAACCCCCTCCAAGTCCCAGTCACTGACTGCTTAGTCATGTGCCCTCGTCTCTGTACTACACTGCCACAGTTGGCTCAGGCTGGCTGACATGCCACTCAGGGTTGTACGAGAGAAGCAGTGTACCTGCCCACATCTGCAGAGAAGGGAGTTTGAAATTCTAGGCCCTTTGGTGGAGACCAACCTCTGCCTGGATCACAATGTTTCTTCTTCCTCTAGGCCTACACACCACAGACCTAGTATCCCCAGTGTCTAGTCTTGTGAGCCTCCCAATGACATCTATATACAAGGCATCCAGCCAGCCCCAGTGGTGAATAAAAGCTGCACATTTAAATTCACCATCCTATGCAAACTCTTAAAGCCTGACAAGGTCTCTTCACACACAGCTGCCACCCCAAAGGGTAGCCTAGATAAAAGTGGGTAAGGGCCCTTTTCTTTTCTGAAGTATGGGAGAAAGCTGTTCCCTCCACCCCCCACCCCCGCCAAGTGCCTTTGGAGGCTCAGGCTAGATTGGGTGCTCTGCTATGCTCAGTTTCTAGAGGAGAGGGTTCTCTAACTGAAATTCTCTGCTGCTTTGGAGTTCCTCACGTTCCCACACTCCTTGCTAATTATGATGAAAGTTACCTCTGGCCTTGTCTTCTGGCCTCTGCCCAGTTGAAAGTCTCACCTTTATAGCATGATTTGTTAACATCTATGTACATACAGGGAACTCAAGTTCCATGAGGCCTGCATAATGACTGTCTGCTCTGGGGGGCACAGACCAACTAACTATATGGAGGGAGGACCCAAATCAGCTAACATGAAGTTTCAAGCACTGTTACTATACTGAAAGCAAGCCCTTGTCCAGCTTTTCAGAGGAGCTGATAAGTCTTACAGTGAGACACTGTGTCCTGGATTGTCTGGGAGCCCAGTGTGAAGTCTGCAGGAATGCAGGAAGTGGAACAGAATTGCCAGAAGACTGCTGTGGGATGGGCTTCCCTTAACTCTAGCCTGGCAGTCTGGTCCAAAGTTGCCCTTACTCAAATGTTCTGGCTCCTCCCTTCCTCACTTTTACTTCCCCCTTCCCCATAAACTGGGGAATAAAGTGGGTATCAATGTTAATTATTTCCAGGGTGAACATGAAACCACAGGTTTCTTTCTCTGTAATCTGCTATGAAGGAAAATGACAAGTGAAAAAATGTGTACTACACTTTAAAATATTTTAACTAAAGGTTTTATTCTATACAACTGTGAAATACAGATTTTTACCCTTTGGGCATTGCAGACGGTCAAGTTTTCTGGAAACTTACTGATTTGACTGGAGGGCGAAAAAAGTACAACCATGCTGGGGGTCAGATCTATGACAGAGGGAACGCAGCCACCCAAGGCTCAGCACAAAGGGTGAAATGACCCAGCAAAACTCATTCCTTTAGCTCAAAGGCCCCTCGTGCAAATACAACTGAGGGCTGATAAATAAGTGTTTTTTCTTTTTTTTTTTTTTGCCATTAATTCACAATTATTACTAAAAAATGTGCACCAAAGGCACACTGTTGTATCCAACATAGATAGAAAGGACTTTTAAAAAAAAAAAGCCGGTTGCTCTCTGAGAAAGGGAGAAAGACCATTTCATCTCATTGGAAATGTGAACAAGTCTTTGCTCACTTCTTCAAAGTGCAGGAGGCAATGACCTGTCCACTTTCCAAAGGAAGTTGACTAGTAGTGAGGGAACCCTGTCTGCAGTCGTGCAGATCAGAATATCTCAAATAGTAAGGAATGGACCTAGGCCCATCAACTGCCCCCAGCTGAACCTGTGAAGATGTAGAAAAGAAAAAACTCCCACTCCCCTCCCCAGTCCCTGCTGTTGTGGGGACAGGCCACACACAAGCTGGGGAGGCAACTGGACTGGAATAAACTGCCCTCTGAAGGCACTTGTGCTTCTGGCTTCATACAGGAGGCTTGTCAATGTAGTTTTATGGGGGTGGACCACTGATCTGTTCTGAATAAAAATGACCTTGGGGAGAATCTGAAGTATTTTCTGCCAAAAGTTGAGAATAAGTTATATTTTGTACAAGATCCAAATGATTCTAAGAAAGCTTTAGATTGTTAGAAAGAACAGTGAAAAGAAGATCTGGATACAGGTACAACAAAAACCTGCATATAAAACTTTGGAAAAACAAATATGTATACTTCCAGGATATGAATATCAAATTAACTCACCATGATATATCCCTTTATTCTGACACCATAAATTTTAGGTAGCATTTCATGAAATTAAAATTTCATCATGGTCTTAAGTTTTGGTGGTGTCATGCTGCTCACCCAGAGCAGGAAACTGTGGACTTTGCTGGTTTTGCCTGTAAATAAAACTGGACATAGTGGAGGAAGGAGTGAAATAGCCACACCTCCCTGGAGCTGCCGCACAGCCAGGGCATTATAGGGGTGCAGCATCGCTGGGCACGGGCTGTGCAAACTCTGGCCCGGCAGTCCAAGTGCTCTGATCCAGCACCTGGAATTTCAGCAGATCTTCCAACAAGAACACATCTGAGATGCAATATTAAAAACAAGCCCAACATTAATCATTTATTATGAAATGGGCTGACTCTCAAGTTGTGCAACAGCAAATTCCCATTAAAAATAACTCAAGTGGTTAAAACAATTTGATTTTTTTTTTTTTATGACAAACTTGGAAAAAGCCTTCATAGGTACTGCATGAATGGAATGTACTCTCTTAGAAAAGCCACACAGCATGTGGGTTTGAAGTCGAACACAGTGACAGATGTGGCCCAACTGATGTCTCTAACAAGTGCTAATAGACAAAGATAAAGTCCTTTGAAACAAAAGGAGGAAGCAAAGTCTGCACTGGCCTATTGTCAGTTCTCTGTACATCTTGCAAGACATAGTCTGCTTGGGGCTCTGCTGCTCTGGCACTCTGCTTCCCTGGGGACAGCTTAATCTACACATGGAAACTGGTTTCTATATTACATCTCGATTAGTCACTTCAATTGAAAGATAATCTCGGTCCATACCAAATCTGCCATTAGAAGTCTTGCTCTCGTTGGGGCTCAGTGGGCTTCCTAGGACTACTCTTGGGGCCATAAAGGAAGGTAGTAAATGAATACCCAGGAGTGTCACCCCACCCTTCACGTGGACTTCTGACGGTAATGGAGGGTGAGGTCACCACCACTCTTCCATATGAAGTGTTTCACTGTTCGAAGGTCCATATTTGGGTCCAAAACCTGAATAGGAAATAAATAAATAAATTTCAAAGTCTCTAATATCTAAAACCTTTATCGTTAACTCAGGGACTTTTTTCAGGTGATTCAGCTTGTTCACTCCTCCCCCATACCTGGTAGCCTGCTCTTGCTGTTACAGCTTCCATGCATGCAGGCGTGAAATAGGGCATGGTGAGATATGCATCTTTTGTGGCTCTGCCAGAAATACCAGGCCATCTTTCAGCCATTCCTCTGAAGAAACATCTTAAGTGCCTCTGATTTAAAACAGCTCTGCCATTTCTTCACCTACCTCCTCCACTCCAAATCTTAAACTAACACAGCAGATGCTGCTCTGCAAATCAAGACCATGTCTTTTTCTTATTAGAAAAAAAGAAGCTTCCAGCATCCATATTTGTCTGTGTATATTTAAATCTCTGTATCTTCCCTGAAAATCTCCCCAAAGGGTGGTCTAAAGAGCCCCTCCAAAAGGGCCTCACAGATAGGTGGGAGAGACCCAGGGTTCCTTAGAGCCTCTCTAAAGCAGACCCGACTGCCACCCAAAACAGATTTGGGAGCTATAATCACACCACATTATGTAATTTTGTCTGAGCACCAGCACTGGAAAAAAGGGACTATGGTCCTCCAGTCCACTTACCTGGTCCTGGCACAAAAGTTCAATTTTCTCCTCTGCCAATACAGCAATATCCTCCTCTTTTTCCTGTTCCCCTGGTTTTTCATTATTAGAAGAGCTAGTGGTTTGAGACTCATTATCCAAGTTGATAATTTTCTCATAAACATGTTCCATTACTTTTCGGACTTGGAGCATGTCACTAGCAGAGAGTCTGTCTCTGTAAAAAGCAGACATATTGTGACAGGGAGATCACTAAATATTATCTCTTCTATATTGTTTTTCTTTGGTGTTAACATTTTATAAAGATTAAACATACCACAGAAACATAAACCAATAAATATTTTTAGTCATTTCTTTAATCTACTTTTAGAATTGCCAAAAGATTTTCTATAGTGTCCTCCTAAAACACAAGTTTATGTGCAACTAAATGAGATTAAATACATGTTCTTAAAACTTACATATACATACAGAATAGCCTTCTCGGTTTTACTCCCTTAAATGCTTTCCCAGAGACTGGGCAAACTAAATAATCCTGGAAGGGAAGGCAGCCCCCAGTGCTTACCAGTGTCCAGTGCTCTTGGGGCTCAGTTTCCCCCGGGCTCTCCTCCCTACTGCCATGTGTTCAACTAGCACTTGTGGGCAGATGATGCCCCAGGCTAGACTTCAAGTTTCAAACTTCTGCTTTTGACCACAAACCCAACAGATTGCTGGGGATCTCCAGTTTGATGTCCCAAACTACACTCATCACTCCCTCACCCCCAAACCTACTGCTATATCTCTGACGTCAGCCAATAAGTCAAACCAAATAGCTAAGGCTTAAACTCTAAAAGCCATCTTGATCTTCAGTCATTAAATCTAGTTGAAGTGACATCTAGGACTGTAAAATAATCCAGTGTACGTGTGGAGGGAGGTGGCCAGGAGGGTAGGTAGAGGTATAGATGAAGCCAAGGGTTTAGCCAGGTGTTGATAATTACTGAAACTTTCTGATGGACAATGGGGGCTCATTATCCTATTCCCTTTTTGTCTAAGTTTGGAAATCTTTGTAACAAAAACGTTTTTTAAAAAAATCTTGATTTTACGTGCCAGGGTTCACATATCATTCATAGTTCATCTCATTCCTGTACTACTAAAATTCTTCTCTTGAGTCTCCCTGCCTTGAGCCTCTCCCTGGCCCACATCCCACATCTCAAAAATTTTTGGTGTTTAGTCACTGCATGCTCTGTGGCTTAGCATTCAAATCCAACATCAATGAAACCTCTAATTACCTTTTTAATTTTCCTCCTAGTATCCTCTTATTGCTCCTCCACCTATGCTGCAGTTACATGGGTCCTCATGCTAATTTCCAATATCTCGTGCATGCTTTCACTTATACATATATCCCCAATCAATTGTGTCATAGACCTGGAATATCAATCTTTTAAAGTTATAGCCATCCTTACATGTCCAGCTCAAATTCCATGTCCTTCAAAAAGCCTTTCTGGAAAGCTCCAGTCAAAAACCCTTTTCTTTCCTCCACTCTCATTATTCCCTAAGTATTCATAAAAGCAGTTATTATATACAGGTTGTATCATAAACTGTGAATTATGGCAAGAGACAAAATCTATGTCTCGTTTATTTTTTGAACATCTGCAACCTACCACAGTTGGTACCTGGTAAGTGGTTTAATTGTATAAGCTTTTATTATAAAATCAGCCTTAGATCTAGTACTTGTGTCCTTTGCTATAAAAGCAATCATAAGGAAAAAGATTCTCTGTTATTAATTAGATCAAGGAACCACATGACACTACATTTACTTACTTTTTTAAGGTTTTTGCTCCTGAAGATGCATGAGGTTGGAGGTAGAAAGGAATTTTGTTGAATTTGGGCATATTTTTCTGAAATATTAGAAGTTAAAAAGATACAATAGTTTCTATTAGCTGATAAACTAAAATATCAATAGGAAAACATGATTTATAAGTAATAATTACAATTAAAAGTGACTCTAAGAAATTTATAGTAAAGTAACAAATTATCTAAGTCAGCTTACAGAAAATTTATCAGAAAAATACGTTTAGTTTTGTAATAAAAGATATATAAAGACAAATCATATGTTGTAATACTGGCGATGTAAAATTGTAGCATGGCTCTTCTTAAATAACAGTACAAGATATTAAAGGGAAACAAACTTTATTTTAATTTTTTAAGCCATATAAACCAAAATCTCACTTCTACACTAAAATATTGGGGCTGATACCTAAAGGCCCAAACAAAAAATTAAGTGTCTTGAGAGAAACCCAAACAGCATTCACCTCTGAGCAAAGCCACACTCTACACTGGTGAGGCGCACCATCCACTGAAAAGGCCAATCAGATCCTCCCATTTTCTTTCCCACTGATATCAGAGTGAGGTCTGAGGTTTTAAGAAAGAGTGGAAACTTCAGCCAACAACCTAGGTGTCTACCATGAAGTAAACCACATACTTAGATGAAGGATAAAATTATCTGGTCATCTTTTCTCAGGGTATTAATCCCTTCCGAGCCTCCATGTCATATCCTGTCTGGATTTCTCCTCTCAGGAATAAGCCACAGGCCTAAAGTCAGCAATGCATCCCAGGTGAGTTTCACACTCAAAGGAAGTAGTGGTTTATGGGGAGTTCGGACATAGAGAAGACCATAGAATATCCATCAGTTGTCACACTGGCTTTAAGTCCTTGGAGGTACGTCTGGGACAGAAAATAAATTTTCTAAAGCTTCTAGAGATTAAATCCCTT